ATATCTTTTCCTTTTCTTGTATTTCTATTTGTTTTCCTTTTGTTGTTATTGTTGTGTGTGTGTGTGTGTGTGTGCACATCTCTTATCTGATATCGCTTTTGGTATTCTGGTTATGCTTATTCTAACCCCCCTCCTCTCTCTCTCTTTCTCTTATATATATATATATATGTTTACTTTAAGATCACGTGCATAGACAGAACATAATTTTTTCTTACTCTCGCGCATTACTTGACATAATGACCGAGGCGGGCACCAAATTGAGGCTCTGCTCCGTTTCCTGGACGTCGGAGCGTCGCTGGTTTTTTCAGTTTTGCGTCAGCATTCTGATTTGTCTCAATAATGGTGCTTGCTTTTGCTTTGGTGTATTCAGTCCATACATGAAGCAGGGGGCGTTTACGTACAGTCAGTCGGAAATTAACGTTGTTTCCACGGTTGGTGTCATTCTAAGCTACTTTTCACTTCCAACAGGGTTTTTGTACGATCACAAAGGCCCCATGCTAACACTGTTGGTAGGAACAGTGTTGAATGTGCTTGGCTGGTTTGGCATGTTTCTCTTATTTGTAAATATGGACGCTCCGATATTAGGAACAAATGTTGGAGTAATGTGTATCTTCTATGGTATTTCCCAATTTTCAGCCAGCTTTTATGAGACCGGCTCGGTCTTGACAAACCTAGACGCCTTCTCCTGTTATCAGGGACGCGTGATTCTCATTCAGAAAACATTCATGGGTCTGGGAAGCTCTGTCATTGTTCAGATATATATTGCCTTTTTTGAAGAACGCTTTGCAGGGATTGGGCCGTTCTTCCTCTTCCTGGTCATATATTCGCTATCTGTCGGAGTGCTGGGTACATTATTTGTCCGCCTGCCCACGAAAAAAACGCAATGCCTGGGTCTCAGCATACCAGATGATGAGGTGATTGAGAGCGGGGGCGCTGAATCGCGTCTGTTTAAGCTTCCGTTCAACGTTGGCACGGCTATACTTTTTATGTTTATTGCCTTTGTTCTGGCTGCGACCCTGCTGGAGAATTTCCATCCACCGTCGGATTCTGACCGTGTCATTATTGGTGTTGTGACGATACTCTTATCCTTGTCTTTCGCTGTCATGATTTTTATTACGCCCAGCTACTCCGTCAACTGCGGGGGGTATGGCACGCAGGCGGTGGCGACGACAACATCGCCAGCAACGGAAGCGGCAGCACCTGCGGCGGCCACTGCCACCGACGCCGCAGAAAGCGGTACCACAAATTATGCGTCACCGCCACCGCCACCGCCACCGCCACCGCCACCGCCACCGCCCTCTTCGCCGACCTCTTTTTCCGCCCTTTCGTCGAATAAGTCGAATGAGAGCCCTGCAAACGCGATGATGGATGCGACTGCAGCACGGCACAAGCTAGGGGAACAAGAGAGCGGCTCCTTATTGTTGTCTAGGGGCCAACGAAGCCATGGTTATCCCCGTGAAGGCATTGGCCGTCAAGAAGTCGAATTGGATGTTGCAGCTGAGCCAGATGTGACAACGGGGTCCGAGATTAATGTCCCTTTAGAGAGAGAAAGACATGTTTCAAGAGGGTGGGACTCATACTCGGGTGACAACTTCGCTGCCGAGTCTGAGGCTGCCCGACAGGATGTGAAATTAAACTCAAAGCCTTTATGGCACAATTTGTGTCGGCGAGATATGTGGCTCATGTGGTACGTGTGTCTTTCGTCGTGGAGTTCGGCGACGTTGGTCTCCACAAACAGTAGCCAGATCTACGAGGCTATGGATTTTCATGGGTATTCTTCTACAGTTAATGTCGTCTTTGTCTCCATTTACGGTGTTGCAAGTGCAATGGGGCGCGTGGCCGTTGGCGTCGCGCACCCCATTCTACTAACCAAAAAGATCCCTGTTCCTACACTCTTTTGCATTGCCCCGGTTTTAAATACTATCGGTCTACCGCTGTTTCTGGCAATGCCAAAGAACGCCTTGGTGGTTCCCTTTTTTGTCATTGGTCTCGCGACGGGTGTTTCGTGGGGAAGCACCATTCTTATCATCAAGGGCTTATTTGCACCGAACAACTGTGGAAAGCACTACAGTGCATTGTACACGGCAGGAATTGTGTCCCCATTGATTTTTAACGTTGGCCTATTTGGACCCATTTACGACTTCTACAGCAAACAGCAGGGATATTGGGAAACTCGTAAATGTGAAGGGCGCTCTTGCATTTGGATTCCTCTGGTGGTATGTGCTGTCGTGAACGCCATTGCTCTGCCAATGGCCATCTACTTTGTTATTCGGGTTTCGAAACGAGGAGGGCTGCTGTAGTGGGTTTGGGGCTGCGACCGATGTCGGGCGACCCTGGCGTAACCGACCACCTCACCGTGGTGCCGGGGTCCAGTACTCTCGGTTATACCGAGGGGAAGCTAAGAGTCGGTCCTTCCTGAGTGCTACTACGTGTTGGAAGGTCTAGTACCCTGTCCAAGGGGAACCGTTTCGCATCATTATCTTGCTCCTGTAGTGGGAGTGGGGATGCGGGTAGGTCAAAATGCACAGATGCTTCGATGGAGTTAGGGCATCGAACGGAGACCCTCCATCAGACAACGTGCTCTCCGCCGTTGGCCTGCGCCCGCAGGTTTTCATCTCCGAACAGCCGCGCAAGCGGCACAAGGGGGTTTTAGTGGGTATGGATGTACTCTCCAACATCGAGTCCCACATCACCGCAGTGCCAGACATTGTGGTATGCGTAAGTGCATTTCCTCCTCGTTCTGTGGGCGCACAGCCAACGTCGGTTGTCGTAAAACGCA